CACCCTGGCGTAAGCCACAGGAGGCTTAATGAGAATAGTAGTTGTATAATTAATAGCAGGAGAGTAAGAAACCGTAGTGACACAAGCTTTAATCGATTTAACCCAAGTGGGACAACAGCTAGAAGCAGTAAGAGTAGTCCATAAAAAGTCCCATTCCATTCGATCATAAGCCTTTTCCATATCAAGTTTAAGGGCTAAGCAACCTTTCTTACTTTTGGATTTGTTAAAAAGATGTAAAATTTCATGGACTAAAAGGATATTATCCTGAATAAATAAACACAAAGTGCACTATTATACCTAAGATTACTTGTAGCCTAGTGGTTAGAGAATGGATTTTTCCGCCAAAGGTCATGGGTTCAATTTTCTTCCCTAACATTCAATATTTGTTTTTTTTTTCCTAATTTGATTGTAATTTTTTTAATATTCTTTTTAACATTTGCACACTTGAATTATTAGTTATAATTGATATTTTGGATCATGCTATTTGATACGAATAATGTGTTTAGTGATTTCGAACCCATAAGAAGAAGATTTTTAAAAATAGGTCATTGCTTAAAGCCTTGAATAGGCCAGAATAACATTTGGTTGATTTTGGAATACTACATAAAATAAATTTGAATCTTAATATTAAAAACATTCGCATTACGTAGTTGAGTCTTGATTAGTCAAAAAGTGTAGGGAAACAGATTTTTGGGGCTTGATAAGAGGATTTCCGGACGGTATGGTGCCTTACCATTATAAAAATCCCGGCTCCGCCATTGCATATACTACGTTGACTTTAATTGGTGCTTTATATATAAATTAAGTCATGTGAGTATTTAGCTTTCGAATATCAACTTTTAATAATTTACTTATTATTTGTAGATAATTATATATATATTATTTGTCAAAGTTTTGCATTAGCAAAATACCAATTAAAGTAAAAATTTATTTTAAAACATAGACATTACTCCGTATAAGTTTATAACTCAATTACAATTTTCAACCATGCAATCAAAGTTTCAACATGTCATTTTCTCAAGTCAAAAAACGGTAAAGACATACATTGTCACATTGATGATAACTCGCCTAAAATAGGCACTCTAACAATATGTTGCATACCCACCTAATTATAAACCCAAATAACCAATAAAGCTTTCTTTATTAGGAAGTTTTTACAAATAAAATCATCAATAATTATGAAAAGCTAATTAGTTCACATGTAAGCACACAATTTAGAGGGCAGGTTGAGTAGTTGACCCAACTACCATCACCTTTTTATGCAATAGACCAATTATGTGGATTTTAGGATAATTCCAATTTCCATTTTACATTTTTGTATTTTTCTTTTCTTTTATTGATTAATAGTTTAATTAATTATTTTCATTTAAAAATATTTTTTTGGGTGTCAGTAAACACTTCCAAGTTCGAGTGTTGAAGTTCAACCCCTAGGAAGTAGATTTTGTCCGTGACTTTCGCATGCAGCAGTTGGGGCTAAAAAGGTGAATTCACCGGCTAATGCCGGTCAATGTCTGCTACCCCACATTTTTCCGGTTATTGAATCTAACCTCACCTCCTTATTACGTTACGTTAGTCTACTTTTGCATTTCAACTCTTACATCTAGAGTTGGTAAAAACTGACACGATACGACAACACGACACGAACCGACTATGACAAAAACGGGTTAGTGTCAAGGGTTTTCAACACATTTAATTGAAAGGGTCAACACGACACGACACATTTAATTGAATAGGTTAGGTTAGTATTAAGATTCTCAACCCGAAATTAACATGACTCAACCCGCCTAATCTAAAAACCCAATAATTTATGGAATTATTGATAAATATATTGAATAAAACCAATTTTTTTTCAATTCAACACGACACGAACCGAATACGAAAAAAGCGGGTTAGTGTTAAGGGTTTTCGACACGATTAATTAATTGGGTCAACACGACACAACACGTTTATTAAATGGGACGAGTTAGTGTTGACCTTCCCCAACCCGTTTAATTTACGACATGAAAACGAACACGACACGACACGACATGATTGTCAGGTCTACTTACATCCTTATACAAGCGCGTCTCCTACTTATCCTTTATACTTTCAATCATACCGCGACTTATTCTATTCACTTGATTTTAATTATGTCTGAGTGGCATCTACATTTTTTTTAGAGTTAGGTCGACACAAGTCTAAAGACAGCATTGGGCCGAGCCGCTCGAGGTACGACACAATCAGCATGAAAAAGCATGACACAATATTAGCGCAGTATAGGCACAACACATTATTGTGTGCATCGGGCTGTGTACCAAGCCTAGGTCGCCTTTATTTGTAGGAAGCATGACAACACATGCACGACCCGACTCAGCACCACAAAACATGTTAAAATCAATGAAATTTGGCTTAAACACACAAGTTCACTACGGTGTCACGGGGACTCAGGTTGTGCATGGTCCACTCTTTTGAAAATATCAACCCGATACAACATAAAAATTGTGGGGTGGGCCTAGCCAACACAGAAGCACGCATGAGGCACGACCTGCAACCATCATACAATCTAAGTTTACCATATGAAATAGAGCTAATTTGTGTCGTATATTATAAGGAGCTAGGACTTGAGAGTCCATAAAGAGGAAATAATATTTTATACTTCTGTAAATCATTTGATCAAACAATGATGTGTTTAACATAATTTTGTTTATGAAAAAATCAATTTTAATAAAATAATTTTTAGATAATTGGATCTTATAATATACATAGAGTACACTCTAATAAGAGCGATTTGAATTAAATTTGGTGCATTTTGTAGTCATAATATGAAAAGGTGCTCAAAGCTTGATAAAGAGTCTTACTTAATTTGGTCGTTAGCACGCTTTGGAATGTTGATTATACTAACAAGACCAATTTAAAAGTATTAGTATCGGTCAAATTCATGTTAGGCAAATGAATATGTTCGTTGTTCCCTTAGGACTTTGAAATTGTTAAGTTACAATCAAAGTCAGTTTTTTCATGCACTAATGGTCATTTCATCCTCCAACTTCTCCATAACTACGTTGACTATATGGTTTGTAGCTTGTAGGCCACAATTTGACTTTATTAAAGTAACGAGGTTGATGTGGTGTTATTTCATTATTTACCAACTAACCAAGTTAAAACCGGAGAAAAACAAAGAGCATAAAGATTGAATTATAAAGTTATAAATCTAAATAATGTTGTTTAATTTTGTACTAGTAAATGGTATAAGTATTAGCTCTAAATGGTAAGGACTATGGATAATTAATAAGTTAAGAGACCTAATGTAAAAGTGATGTTAAGTATTAGTACATAATTATACATTGAATGACACACAATTTTATTCAGGGTTGAGATGAGTTAAAATACATCTATTTGTCAACTCTATTAGTTACACAATTTTATTATTATTATTATCATCGAAAACATACTAAATTGCTTTTCTCATATTTTTCACTAACATATGTCACGATTTTCAACTTCTTACTTTATACTTGTGATCAACAAATTTTTAGTTAACTTAGTCAAAACAATTTTTAACATTTATACTTATCAAAAAGATTATTAGTTAGTGTTAGTGAAAAAGTAAAATAATGATTTTAGGCCCGTTAGCTTGTAAACAACTTAAATCCAACACGTTTAAATGTTAAATAGGGTGGGTATGAGCAAGTTTTGAAGCCCTTTAAATAAAAAGTGAAGTTAAGGCTCTACCCCTTTTTCCTCCCTAAGTCCACAAACGATCACCTTTGTTAGAGAGATTGAAGAAGAAATAAACTAGTGTGTTCAAGAGACAAGTAAAGAGAACCATTAGCTAAGTAGAATAATATTACAATTAATCTACAATTTTTTAAAAACTTAAATGTTATAATTACTCCAAAACAAAAGAAATATATTTCACGTGACAGGATGATCCTAGTTATCTGCTAGATATCCTGGATAAAAAAAAAAAAAGGATGATTTAGATTGTCTGCCGCATTTTCCAATAAAAAATATAATTATAATATCGAAAACAAAACCAATGTCATGGTTAGTTAATCTTATTTCACGACTTTATTACTTATTTAGATTAGATGATGAGATTTTTTTTATTGATATATATTTTTAACTCAATAATGAAAAAAATATATATGAAATTACATATATAAAAAATACACATTATGCTATATTTAAGTTCACCTTATTTTTGCTTATCTGACCTGACTTTTTTTTTTTTTTTTTTTTTTTTTTTATTATCAAATTTGACAAAACTTTGATATAATATGTACGCTAATTTATATATAAAAAAAAATTATATCAAATGGGTCTTATTAGAATTTTCCTCAAAAAAAAAAAGGGTCTTATTAGAATTGTATTATAGTGTGTTTTTTAATATGTAATTTTATTTATTTTTGATTACCAAATTAAAGATATATAGCGATGAAAAATCGCACATAACATAAAAGTTTTGTGTTTTTTTTTTCCTAATGCAAACTTATTTTATGATTTCTATTGGATTTGGTCTTAAATAAGAAGTTGAAATAAGTTGAGATAAAAATACCCTAACATCTATTAACTATTATTAAAACAAAACGTTGCTGACGTCATTATTGTCCACAAGTCAGTCTCATAATAATTTTTTTCCTGCCTAAATGCAAGGATGATGTCATCTGTTTATATTTAATTTTTTTTTTGTGCATGTGTGTGTGTAAGTGGAGCTACCATATTTAACAATTTGAAATTTGAATATTAGAAGTTTCTACATTACAACTATAACATATCAATTTATTCTAAAATGATGAAACAATTGTAAATAACACACCAATAAATGCTCTTACATTGAAATATGTATTAGACAACATTGAACAGGTATTATAGCATAATTTTGATGAAAATCTAAAATTTTAAAATTAAAAATATTTTTATACAAGGTGCATAATTCTTAAATGTACAAATTATAAAAATAGATTTTATGTAAAATCGTGCAACGCACGGGTTCTAACCTAGTAAATCTAAGACCCTATTTGGTATATTTTCTTTATAGATTAGCATGGTCCAATTAAACAAGGCAATCAAATCAAATTTGAAAAAAATAATAATAAAAAATTCATATTAAATCATATTAGATTAGAAGAAATAAATTTAGATTATACTAGATAAATAAAAATAAGGTGAAAAAAACATAACGTAACATAGACGCGCATGAGCATGAGAGTGGGAAAAGAGAGCATAGGATCCGCAACGTCCTCGTTAGACCGCACCTAACATCATGAATTTCCTACGTCCCCACCATCCCAACCTTCACCTCAGTAATCTCACTTTCAACAGATTTAATAATAATTTAATTAAAATACTAGAAAAATGACAAATTAAGTGCATTGACAATTAGATTTGTACTAACCATAATCTCCCAAATACCACTGTCCAAATTACAATTTCAGCACCTACTAAAAAGTCAGCTCATTTGTGTCATCATTTCTTTTTCTAAATCCACCCTATAAAATTACAAATATGAAAAAAAAACTTTCTTTTTAAGTCAATTTGTACAACCCAATTTGCCTGTTTATTCTTACTAAAACCTCTGTGTTTTCTTCTCTATACTAGATTCTATCCACATTATTTTTTCAGTTTGGATATCCGAATTTTCGGATTTTCAATTTTGTAACGCGGGGTCAAATGTTTTTTTTTTTTATTATTTTTTTTTTTAAAGGGTGTTGGTTTGTTAAAGATGTTTAATTTCTTCCATTAGAAGGCAATTGTAGAAGAAGATTATTAAAGGTGTATACAGTAAAAATCAACAAATTTTTTCTTTCTCTCTCTCCTCATTTAATAAACTTTTTGCCCACAAAAATTGCTCAACTACTCCTGCTACTACTACTCTACCCCATTTCAAGATCTGGGATTTGTTCTGAGTTGGGATTGAAGTGAAAATTGTCACTTCAATTTGAAGTTGTTGTTAGTTGGGGTTTTTCAACTTTCTCGGTAATATTTCTGGGAAATTAATTTCATTTTCCTGGGTTATTGTGCTACTATTTTTTTCAATAAACAATTAATCTGGGGGGTTAGAATTTCTTGAGCTGGGTTATTTTTTTAGGTTATAATTTCCCTTATTTCATGGTCTTTGAATGTGATTACAGATCTCAGTGGGGTGTACTACTTGTATGCTTAATTGCTTCAATTATAAGTTGCTTATTTTGCGGAATTAATGTAATATTTTTGATTTTGTGAAGTGGGTAGTTTTTAATTCAGTCAAAAATCTCACATTCAAACAATTGGGGTTTCTGGGTTTTTGTGGGATTTTCATGATTTGTGTAATAGAATATCTGGGAATTCTTTCTGTTTGGTATATTGGTGGAAAATTTTGTTTCTTTGGTGATTCAAGGTGAGATTATTGAGTCAGATTTTCGGGTCGTTTTCGAAACCAGATGGTTTGGATTTGTCAAAAGATTGAGTGACAAATTTGGCAATGGTGGCAATGCAGGCTATGTCAATTACTTTCCTGAAGTGTGTGTTGTTGCTTTGGTTTGTGGTTTCCATTCCTGGCTTCGAAACCATTAGCCAGGCATGCGATTCAAATGACCTCATTGCTTTGAACCATTTTGCTGGCAATCTCACAAATGCAGCAAATGTGTTTGCTTGGGTCAACACCACCACCACAACCAAATGCTGTGAATGGGATGGTGTTTCCTGTGATAATTCGAGTGCGAATAATAATGTGTCTGCTGTAAGTAGGGTGATCAGGTTGGTGTTGAGGAATAAGGGTCTTAGAGGAGTGATTTCGCGCTCCCTCGGTTACTTAGACCGGTTGGAGATGCTTGATCTTTCAGGGAACTATCTTGAAGGTAGATTGCCTGTTGAGCTGTCGAATTTACGACAGATGGTTATCATTGATGTTAGTTTCAATAAGTTATCTGGGTCAGTTGTGGAAGCATTTTCTGGGTTGGAAGGTGTTCAAACTGTGAATCTTTCCAGCAATTTTTTCAATGGGACACTTACTGATTTTGGGGTGTTCCCTAAATTGGCAGTGTTCAATATAAGCAACAATTCGTTCACTGGACAGGTGAATCCCAGAATTTGCAGTTCGAGTACGATTAAGATCATCGATATTTCGAAGAATCAGTTCACTGGTGTGCTTCAGAGCTTGGAGAATTGTACATCGTCTCTGGAGCAGTTGCACGCAGGCGATAATTCGCTTTCTGGTGAGCTTCCGAGCTTTATCTATGATATGTCTTTGTTGAAGCAGTTGTCAATACCTTTCAACAATATCTCTGGTGAAATAAGTGTTGAAATCAGTAAGCTTTCCAACCTTACAAACTTGATAATTTCGGGAAATCACTTTTCTGGCTTATTTCCTGATGCATTTGATAAGCTGACTAAACTAGAACAATTCATTGCACCTTCAAATATGTTTTCTGGGCCATTGCCCTTGAGCCTATCTCAGTGCACTAGGCTTCGGGTGCTTGATCTTAGAAACAATTCTTTCTCTGGCTCTATCGGACTTGATTTTACAGGACTATCGAGTCTTACTGTACTTGATCTTGCCAGTAATTTTCTGAATGACACCATTCCAACTTCACTTTCTAGTTGCAAGAAACTGAGAACGTTAAGCATGGCTAAGAATGAGTTACATGGTGAGGTACCGGAAAGCTTTGGAAACCTTGAATCTCTTTCCTTTCTGTCAATGTCAAACAATAGCTTGGTGAACTTGACAGGAGCATTGTCAACCCTGCAGCAATGCAAAAATCTTATAACACTTATCCTCACTAGAAACTTCCATGGTGAAGAAATTCCGAGAAGTTTACCAGGGTTCGATAAGCTAAGAGTTCTGGCACTTGGAAATTGTGGTCTACATGGTGAGGTTCCTTTTTGGTTACAGAATTGTGATAAGTTAGAAGTCCTTGATTTGTCGTGGAATCACTTAAATGGGAGAATTGCTTCTTGGATTGGGCAGATGGAAAATTTGTTCTACTTGGATTTCTCTAATAATTCGCTTTCTGGGGAGATTCCAAAAACGTTAATGCAGCTCAGTAGCCTGATCAATCCGCGTAGTTTTTCATCAGATCCTTCTTCGATCAATGGCATCCCACTTTATGTGAAGAGAAACAGCTCTTATGGCTTGCAGTATAACCAACTCTCCAGCTTTCCACCTTCTCTATATTTGAGCAACAACAGATTTAATGGGATTATACCAGTCGAGATAGGGCAGTTGAAGCAACTCCATGTGCTAGATTTCAGCAAAAATAACATCACAGGGACCATTCCTGATTCTATATCGAACATGCCGAATCTTGAGGTCTTAGATTTGTCCTTCAATGACCTATACGGATCAATACCTCGATCACTTGATAAACTCTCATTCCTTTCGAAATTTAGTGTTGCACATAATCATTTACAGGGACAAATACCATCAGGAGTACAGTTTCAGGGCTTTCCAAACTCAAGCTTTGAGGGCAATCTTGGCCTTTGTGGGTCAACTCAAGCTCCTCCTTGTAACAATGACCACAATATGAATATTCCTTCTGATTCAAGCAATAAATTAGGTAGAAGAAGCATTATTGGGATAATAATAAGTGTTGGTGTTGGTATTGCCTTGCTCTTGGCAGTCCTTTTGCTGAAAATGTCCAGGAGAGATGCTCGAGCTTCTTCGGTTGATTTTCTAGATGAAGAGAATGGCCGGCCTCCAAGACTGTCTGAAGGGTTTACTACTGCAAAATTAGTGCTTTTCCAGAACTCAGATTGCAAGGATCTAACAGCTGGGGATTTGCTGAAATCCACTGATAATTTCAGTCAGGCAAATATTATTGGTTGTGGTGGATTTGGTCTAGTATACAAGGCTAGCCTTCCGGATGGCAGTAAAGTTGCTATCAAGAGGCTTTCTGGGGATTGTGGTCAAATGGAGCGTGAATTTCGTGCAGAAGTGGAAGCTTTATCAAAGGCTCAGCACAAGAATCTTGTTTCCTTGCAAGGCTACTGTCAGGTTGGTGATGACAAATTGTTGATCTACTCTTTCATGGAGAATGGAAGCTTGGACTATTGGTTGCACGAGTGTATTGATGGTGGGTCAGCCCTTAATTGGACTGCAAGATTGAGAATAGCTCAAGGTGCTGGTCATGGCTTAGCATACCTCCATAAGGTTTGTGAGCCAAATATAGTCCACCGAGACATAAAATCTAGCAATATTCTTCTTGATGAGAAATTTGAAGCCCATTTGGCAGATTTTGGATTGTCAAGATTTCTTCGTCCTTATGATACCCATGTAACAACAGATTTGGTTGGAACTCTCGGCTATATACCTCCTGAATATAGCCAGACATTAACTGCTACCTTCAAAGGTGATGTTTACAGTTTTGGCGTTGTCCTTTTGGAGCTTCTTACTGGCAGGAGACCCGTTGAAGTCTGCAAAGGGAAAAATTGCCGGGATCTGGTGTCATGGGTGTTTCAGATGAAATTAGAGAAGAAAGAAGAGCAAGTGATAGATCCATTCATTTGGGACAAAGATCGGGAGAAGCAACTATTGGAGGTTCTGTGTATTGCCTGCAGGTGTTTGGATCAAAATCCAAGGAACAGGCCTTCCATAGACCAAGTTGTTTTATGGCTTGATGCCATTGGTGCCGGTTAAAAGTGTTATAAAATGTAGATTTTACTTAGTTTCAGGCGATAATACCTTTAATTCTGTAAAGAGGCTATAGTATTGTATCAAGATTGGGTAGCTTAAGTTTTCTTTGCAGTAATTCACTCTATACAAACAAAGCATAATCCTTTATATACTTAGGCCAATTTGGTCACTTCTATTGGAAATAAACTTAAGTTTTTCCAATTGTTCCTTACTTAGCAGTTAGCATATGCTAACACTTTTTTGTAGATGTGAAGTAAATTGCTCGAAGTATTCAGTTTTGTACCAGTATATTGCGATGCTGTGTACCTATAAATCTATAATCGGCTGAATTGCCAGATTGTTCTATTTGAATGAGGTTATATTTCAAAATTGAACATGGTATCGTAAACCCTCCGGCTACTAAGGTATAGAAAGTTAGATAGAAACTGATGTGATCATTTGAGCCTATTTGCTTGTTGGATTTGGGACGTATTTTTTATTAAATAATTTTGTTTTTGTCCTTATTTTTTTTATTCTCCATGGTTCCCCTGCCTCTTCTTCTCCTGCTCCCTGCTTCTTATTTTCCCTGAAGTACCGGTTTGTATATTGTGATATACATACTCATGAATGAGCATTTATCAGAATATCGATGTGTTTCTTACAATCCCTGCTTTGTTGTCTTGTGTGTATATATCTTAGTATCTTGGTAAAGTCTTGCTGCTTTATAATACTAGTCTATAGTTTACCTTACTATTTTGTTCTTAGTCTTAATCACAGTTAACTGCAGACCTAAAATGTATTTGTTTTCGCAGTGATGGAAATACTTAGGATTGGCTACATTACTTCTACATTACTTCTATGAAGTTGATACACTGTGATACTCTTATGCAACTGAACTTCTACCAGTCTGTTTGACATTTACTAAAACCTTTCCATGTAGAGGATTTTATCAGCTTGTATACTTAAATTCATCTCTGTGGTCAGTACCTGTATAATCTGAGTTAATATTGATAGAATACTTCATTAAGTTTTGTGACTCTTTACGTTTTCTAAGTCATGTTTTAAGATTACTACTCCTTCCGTCCTCAAGTAATTATGTTCAAATATCAGATCATTTTTTTTAGAATTTTAGTAAAAATACCTTACTATCGCACCAATATAGGACGATGTATTTGTTAGGAATTCTTAGTGAAACATGTTATCAAATACTTTGTATATTACGTGGAAATTTTAAAGTTAACTCACTAAATTTCAAGATGACCTGGTTTTTAGGGTCAATTAAGATATGATCGTGGCTTATTAATGAGGGACAGAAGGGTATTATATATCCGGCGTGGCAAAATATGAAAGTGCTCTTTTCAGACAATCAGTTAGCATAACATTCGCACTTTCGCAGTAATAGTTGAACTTTGACTTCATTTATTTTGTTGTATACTAATCAAAAATCTGCAGCATGTAAGCAATTAAGGATGATGTTCATATTAAGGAATAATTAGAGTATCTAATTATTCTTTCTGTTATTTTGTAAATATCTTTTATTTACTTAGACAATGTAATAGGATTGTTTTTCCTTTTTTTAGAGTAGTTATAGCTAGTGCTTATCTTTCTTTGTATAATGTAATCGGCTACTTATATACTCCTAAGGGTAACTCTAGTTTGCCTATTTAAAGAGGCTAAAGTAAATAATCAAAGCATCAAATCTTTTACTAGTCTTATAGTTCATACAGTGAAAATCAATTCCATTATTCTTCCTTTCTTTTTACTAGGAGGCGTGTTATGTAAAGGTGCTTTCAAATTCAAATGAAATAACTTTAAAAAGTTCCTTTTGCATTCATTCAGAAAATAAAAATAAAAATCATGAGTTGCAAAAAGATCAGAAAAACCAACAAATGATTCAAACATGTTTTAAATTCGGGTCCCAAAAATTAAAAGGTTTATTGAATTTGATTTCGACATTTTAATAATTTTCTACCATTGGGGACAATTCAGACTTCAAATTTAATAGTCTTAATAAAACTGACACATTAGATTCTAGTACTATAATATAGTCAATGACCACCTTTAATGAGGTTTGATATATGTCAAAAAAGAAAATTGTGGTTTTGTGTTATTTATCTTTTTTAAAAATAATGTTTCCCTTTCATATGCAATACATACGGACAATTTAAAGATGGCACTAAGCTACTAGTCTACTGCCTGACCCGGGCCTATTGTTGGGTCGGACTAGCCCGATACTATTTGTATTGTACAAATTTTTACCTACACCCACATGCAGCATTACCTGCACGGCTGCACCCCCTCTCCTCAATAACGACGTCATCTTCTAGATTTTCTATTTATTTGAATCTCATATAATATGTTTATTTTTATATCGGAAAAATTAACATGAGTGGACAAACCTTTTGCCGGTTCTCCAATAATAGACTAACCTTTAAATCTTCCAATTTTGGACAGAAGTTTACATAATTTCGCCCATATTAGACTGAGTAGGTAACATGACCTGTTATAACCGGTTTGATTGGTGACGTGGCACTTACCGTTGGTTTTTTTTTTTTGTTTCTTCAACATAAATTCTCAGGTTTTGAAATTTTTTTTGTTTATTTCTTCAACCAAAAATCTCAGAAATTTCGTTCTTCATCCAAAAATGGATAAGGCAAGGCATCAAATTGAAACTTCAGGGTCTTCTTCTTCATCAAGGGGAGGGGGGGTTTCATATGGGAGGATTAAAAGTAGTTGCGGAAGAGATGCGGTTGTTAGGTCGGTGAAAAATGGTCCAAATGTGGGGTTGAAGTTCCATGGCTGTCCATTATGGCCTGTAAGTATTAAATTGGTTCATTAATCATCTCAATTATCCAATGTAATTAGGGTTTATATAACTAATTGTTGTTTGATATACAGGATACATGTTGTGGTTTTTTTAAGTGGATAGGTGTGAGAGATGAGGTTGATGATTTACGGTTTCAATTGTTTGAAAAAGAAACCACCATTACTGAGTTAGAGATGCACAAGCAGATGCTGGAAGATAAGGTGAAGAGGGTGCAGCTGAAAAAGGAGAACTTGGAAGAAGATGTTCAAGAACTTAAGGGTGAAGTCAGTCAAATGCGAATTGAGTTGATGAAGAGTGCAAGGAATGAGAGAAATTTTTCTTTGGCTTTGGTTTTGTCATGGGTTTTGTTTGGGATAGTGATTATGGCCTTCAAGTAATAGGATGTTGTTAGTTGTATTTTGGTTGTGTTGTAGTTGAAAGGTGTCATTCAGGATTGATAATTGAATAAAAAAGGCTTCCCTTTCTTTTGGTAATTGTTATCTATTATCTATTTTGTTCTGTAATTGTTAACAGGGAAATAATAACAAACAAAACAGCAAGTTTTTGACAAAAGTTGACAAATTGTTCTGTAATTATAAGCAACAAACATATTGTTCTGTAATTAAAAGCAACAAAAACACAAATTGTTGACTAATTAAAGAAAAACACCAAATTGTTCAACATAAACACAAATTGTTCAGAAATTAAAAAAAAAACACCAAATTGTTCAACAAAAACCAACCCAAATTGATTACAGCAACACATTTTTTGGACCATTTGAAGGCTTCATGAGATGTGGCTAGTCTGAGTGGGAAGCAGATTTTGGGTGACTTGTGAAGGACCTTGGTGTACATCAGACTAAGATGCATCCTGGTTTATTGTAGGAGTACCATCAGCTTCAAACAACACTCCAACACCAACTAGAAGCCTAGTCCTGCCACCTTTAGAGCCCCTTCCACCTCTTGAGCCCCTGCCACCCCTTGAGCCCCTGCCACATCTTGATCCCCTGACACCTATTAATCCCCTGCCACCCCTTCCCTATCCTGTTGCAGATGCAGTGCTGCTTTCTCCACCAGAAGCTGAGCTAGTCCTTCCCCCTCTAATCATTCTACCACCCCTACCAAGTTTGCTGGGCTATGTTGTAGCCTGATGATGTGACTGAGCCTCTCCATCAGGAGGTGGGTGTTGTGGTTGAGGTTGAGCTGCAGTTGCTTGCTTCTTGGTGGGAGGCTCAGATGGATTAGGACACCTCCTTTTATTGTGACCCTTTAGTTGGCAATTACTGCATGTCATCTCCATGCCAACCCTAGTGAGGTGACCAGGATTTGAAGGATTTTCATGGGGATCTTTGATCCTGTTTTTCCTGGATCTTCCAGGCCCTATTTTAATTGGAGGAGGATCCAAAGCCCACTAAACTCTTGGCCAGTGTCTCTCCCCTTCACAAGGTGGAATTGACCCTACAAGAAAAAATAAGTAAGATGAATATAATAGTCAATCATTGAACATTATGTGCAACAACAAAGAAGTTCATTCCTCCATATGCTTTGAAATACATGTCTTTCCAGTAAGACCTGTCCACATAATCCTCAGCTTCCTTATGCAAGAAAAAAATGCATGCCACTGCATGACAGCATGATATGCCAACCATGTCCCACTTTCTACAAGTACATTTTTTTGCATCTAAATTGACCACTAAGAAATCCAACTGATAGCTGACATTGAACAAGATCTCAGATGAAGGCATAACATCATAATAAACAGCCTTGTTCTTCTTTATTTCTAACCTCTTCTGAATGTTTGGACACAAAACAGAGCTACACTTATGCATTTCCATCCTTTTCAACACAAGCCTCTACATCAGGCTTGCCCTTATCTCTTCAAGCATATAAATTAAATGTTTTGTTCTTGCATTGATGATATATCCATTAAAAGTTTCTGCCATGTTGCTGGTGATTGCATCTGATTTGACAGAAGTGTCCAGAAAAGCCCTACATAAAAGTTTTGGATTGTATGCTCTGAATGCATTTGCTGCATCAGGATCTAGTTGCTCTAAAGCCTCAAGATTTTCTGTGTAATCTGCCATGTTGTATGACTTAGCTATTTTCCAGAACATCAGCTTCAGTTCATCCCCTTTGTAGGTCTTATGCCACAAAGCATATATGTGCCTAGCACAATGCCTGTGTTCAGCCTTAGGGAGAATAGTTTTCACACCATTCAAAATGGCCTAGTTCACATCAAAAAAAATAACATTCACATTAACATTAAATTACTAGCACATCATACACAAAGAAAAATAAAAAAAAGCTAACAAATACTCACCATATGTACATCAGATATGATGAACACACCCTCACCATCTCCTAGACCAAGATTGTTCTTCAACTGCTCAAAAAACCATTCCCATGAAGAGTTGTTCTCCCCTTCTTCTACTGCCCAAGCTATAGGGTACATCTGCTCATTCCCATCCCTTCCAACAGCTGAGAGTAATTGCCCACCTAGAAAGGTCTTCAAGAAACACCCATCCACACAAATGACCTTCCTACAACCATCTACCCATCCCTTTTTCAGACCTTCAAAACAAGTGAACAACCTTTGAAATACAGGTGGTGGTGCAGGCTGTTTGTTCAGTTTTGTTACTGTCACCAACTCAACACAGCTACCAGGACTGCTAGCCTTCAAAGCTGCTATGTAACCTCCCAGCTTTGCATAATGTTCATGCATTGACCCATGTAGCATTCTATGAGCTGCATACTTAACCTTGTATGCAAATCCTCTCTGAACAACTACCTTAAAGGCCCTCCTGATAGTTTCAACTATCTCTTTTGCTGGCCAATGTGGTCTGTTCTTGAAAACCTCTAAAAATTGTTTAGCTACCCACTTAGACTTCAACTTCCTGTTCCTTTCCATGTTCCTGTGACAAGTGTGCTCCAACTGCACAGTCTTCACAACAAAAGTTGCCCTCCTACTCTCCCAAGCACCATACAATTAGAAAGCACAACCCTCCACACACTTCACACCTAACCTCTGATTTACCTTAGTGTTGCTTATGTCATAAGTGAGATTCCTTCCTTGTAAAATGGCATACTTAGAAACAGCATCCCTAAAAGCTTCCCTAGATGAAAACCTCTGCCCCACCTTCCAACTAAACACACTGAAATCAGTGTCTGCACTCACTAAGTTCCCTGCCCTCTTCCTCCTTTCCTCTCTAGTTTCTTCCTCATCTCCACTGTTTGGTGGGGTTATTAAATCATCCTCACTCTCATCATACTCACTTGCATATCCCTCTGCAACAACTTTAGGTTCTTTCCAACCCCCCTATCAGCCTCACCACCTAACTTACCCTTAGCAACCTCCCTCTGTAGCTGATTTGCTATCTGTAGCAACTTGGCAGTACAAGTTCTCACTCTCTCCCTTGCAATCAAAGCCTCCTCATCAATCTCAGAGTCATAACCATCATTTAACACCTCATTCTCTTGCTCATCCTCATCATCCATATCATAACTACCTTCAGATTCATTCCCTGCTCCTTTTTTTTCCACTAACAACACTTTTCCCTCTATCAATAGCTGGGTCATACAGTGGATCTTCTTCATCTCCACTTAAATCATCATAGAACCCCAAAAGCTCTCCCCAATCTAAAGGACTTTCTGGCCTATTGTCAACCCAAGCATCTTCATCAGTAACAAGGTGTGTACTGTTTGAGGTCAGATCTGGAATGGATGTGTTATCAATAACAACAGGGGAAGGCTGGAAGAAGTTTGCTGAAGGAAGAGTAAATTGTTTAGATTTACCTTTGTATTTTGGGAAAATAGAAGTAGGTGGGGAGGTTGTATCTGTATTTGTGGAGGGGCACAATATTGTTGATGTGGGAGTATCTTTTATCATTAAAGGTAATTGTGGGCCCCTCTTTATTGGTAGTTTATGTCTTGCAAGGTCATGGGTCAAAGGTTGCCAGGGTGTTGTTTGTACTTGGGGTGCAGTGGGATCTAACTTAGGTTTTTCAACCCCTTTATGTACATATATCTCCAAACACCTAACCTTCAACAGAATCTCCCTCATCCCATTCACTTCATTGTCAGAATAAACCTTCTTTAATCCACTCTCTAATGGCAACCCTGGTACCAAATACCACAAAACATCCATATTTTCAACCCCACACTGTTTTGCAAAGTCCTCTAACCACCACCAACATAACTCATCAGGATCAATACTAAAAGTCATACCTTCTCCACCCTGATACACTAATGTCCTATTATGCGTTTTAAAAGTCCCCCATACCAGTACTTAAGAGTTACAGCAGCAAAAGGATCACCCATATCTAGCATTTACCAACATCAAAATACCAAATTTCAGACACAACATTAACAACAACGATCCAATTAACAACAATTCAATTAACAACTTAACATAAACACAAATCGCAATTTATACGGCCAATGTCAGTCAACAAAATCCACAAATTCAGACAATTTCGCACACAATTTTGCAATCAACATCGAAAACATTAAGCTTTAGGTATCTAGAAAGAACATACCTCTTTTACGGCAATTTCAGACCCCAATGGCTTTCCCAGTTGCTATGATTTCACTTCAACGCTTCCAACAACCCAGTACAATCGCAGAACCAATTTTGGGAAAAAAAAAATTTGGGACCAGCAATTTGCAGAGAAGGGACATGTACGGAGTGTAAGTGAAAGAGGAAGCAGTGAATTTTGGGTATTAGGGGAGGAGAAGGGCGCAACATTAATGGCTGAGAAGACATTGTTAGTTGAAGGTTAATGCTTCTGTTGGAGGGAAACTAACTTCCAAGAGGTCAACATGTGTACTGCTGACTTCGTTTACCAGTTGTGGGTAAACTCAGTCTAATATGGGCGAAATTATGTAAACTTCTGTCCAAAATTGGAAGATTTAAAGGTTAGTCTATTATTGGAGAACCGGCAAAAGGTTTGTCCACTCATGTTAATTTTTCCTTTTATATATGTAAATGTTCAATTTTATATCATTAAATGTTCAATCTTCGTAATACGATGTGTTACATTCAAATTATTATATTTGTTCCCACTTTAGTTTTTAAACAATTTTGTCTTATTATTTAGTTAATTTAACTAGTATAGTACCCATACAATTGTACGGTATAAATAAATCTAAACTATTGGTTATCATAGTATATAATAGCGAAACCTTTTAATGTAAATTAATTGATTATTCATTATTTTATAACTATTTTAATCACAATAATGTGTATACATCTAATCATCAATCACAACACTCTGTATCATGTTTTCAATTCAATGTTCAATAAAAAAATTTAGAAATAGGTATATGATAAATGTTTAAGTTATGCCCTTCAAATATATTGGTCATGTTTAATCTTTTTAGATCATAATGAGTTACGCACATTCACATAGATCATATATTTCTCTTCATGGGCACTTTTTATAACAATTTTAGTGTACATCCCATGATATAGTACCCATGCAATTGTACGGTTTGAATAAATCTAAACTATTGGTTGTCATAGTATATAATAGAGAAATCTTTTAGTGTACATTAATTGATTATTCATTATTTTATAACAATTTTAATCATAATAATGTGTACATATCTAATTATCAATCACAACACTCTGTATCATGTTTTCAATTCGATGTTCAATAAATTTTTTTTTTTTAGAAATAGCTATGTGATAAATGTTTAAGTTATGCCCTTCAAATATTTGGTCATGTTTAATCTTTTTAGATCATAATGAGTTATGCACATTCACATATATATATATCACATATATTTCTCTTCATGTGCACTTTTTTTAATCAATAAAACATACTTTCTACATCCCATGATATAGCCACAGACTTTTTAGTTTTTTTTTTCTTTTTTTAATAAAAAAAAATACAGTGTACAATAAAACATTGTATATTGGTTAAAAAAGTCTCCCTAAATTGATAAATCAAAAGTTACCCGAGATAAATCAAAGCCATCTTGATATAAATAAAAGTTTAGCGCGTTTTCTGAGATGCTGGCCACACCGTGTGGCCGACTGATACACACCAAAACACTGGCCGGGTAATCCCTGACTGAGTAACCCCTAATCGATCGAGTAACCCTTGACCGAGTAACCCTTGACAGACTAAGTAACCCTTAACCGACCGAGTAACCCCTAACAAATCGAGTAACCCTTAACCAAGTAACCCTCACCACACGGTGTGGCTATCCAGCTCATTTTCAGTGTGGTTGGCCACACTGTGTGGCCGAATGACACACACCAAAACATGACCGAGTAACCCCTGATTGCGTAACTCTTGATCGAGTAACCTCTGACCAATCGAGTAACCCTTAACCACATAACCCCTTACTGAGTTACCCCTAATTGACCGAATAACCCTGGACTATGTAACTTTAGCCACATGGTATTGCTAGCCAAATATGAAACTTTGTGATAACATTTATATATGCTTTATTGATAAAGATACTCTATTTAAATTATTTAAAAATATATGAATGAGTAAAAAAAACTATATTACACTTATAAAACTTATTATCTTATTGTTTACAAACAAAATCATGTGGAGTTTTGTTAGATTTGTCTCAACTTTTTTCTTTCAAATATCAAATTCTTATAATTTTTGCTAATACGTAATTAAAAATATTTACAAATAAAAGTATGAGTTGGCAACCGTGCATAAATGAAATGTGTCATTTAATATAAAACAGATGAAATATATAGTAAATAGAAGGATTATTGATTTATTGATTACTTTAGGGTTATTTTTATGTTTTGTTTACCGTATTGGGCATGGGATTGCATGCGAATAACACTTGTTTTCGTTAATGAGAAGTTTAATTGTTGAGTTTATGAAAATTGTGAGTTAGTGAGTGAGTCATTATATTGATTTGTAATCGTTGATTTTTTATTGTTTGAGTGGAAAAGATAAAAAATTATTGAATTAGGTTGTTTTTAATTGTTAACTTAGTATCCAAACGTGATATAACCCACATTAGAATATCATTGTGGTCATTTACTTTTCTATTTAAAAAATAAAAATAAAAAATAAATTAAAAACTATATGTGATTTATTTACTTTCTTGCTCCTAATATCCTATTGTTATCATTGTGGTAATCATGCATGCATTCAACTGTTTATATTCTTTTGAAAAAGACTTTTGAACAAAATTTCACAAATTCTATAAATTAGATTGCATTGTACGATGCATTCAACTTTGATAATCTATCTATAAAAAAAATACAATACAGAGTACATATTTAAATTGCATTATTTCCTATATATTTCAATCATAAATTGCATTATTTGTGGTCTATTGAGAGTAAAAAAATAATAATATGTAACATGTCTTATAATAGAACCTATATATGAAAATAGAAAATTTTGTTCATATAAATAAGGTTATATTGATATATTATAATAATTGATTTTATTAGTATAATAATTAATATTATTACATTGCACTATAGTTTGCTATATTACCATATTTAGCTTAGTTATATAAATATTTGATTATATTATACTAAATTACTAATAGATCTTATTAGTATAATAATTGATATTATTATATATATTATACTTTATTTTGTCCCTATATGGATGTACATATAGTAAATCCAATATCACAATAAGATTTACTTCCTTTGTTTTTTTTACTTGACCTGTGATAGGCGGTCGCTCACCAAACAAAAATAATAAAAGCCTAACTATCCTCCTAATATGTAGTTGGGTAAGTCAGGGTCGATCCCACAGAGAAGGTAGTATTAATATTGAGTTGCTATGAATTATAACTAGTCGAGTCAATCAAAATAAGGTTGAAAATATTATACTACTAAGCAAGAAAATCAAATAATAAAAACACCTAGAATTAAGTATCACCACTAGCATAATCAATACAAGACAAATTCCTACCCCAACCAATTAGTTATATGTTCACAAGGAAAGGTACGCCATATAAAATACCAAAGATCTCTCCCGAGTTGTCAATGGCTTCCCTAATTAACAATCAAACCTACTTCCGTGGAATCATGTAAATTAAAGACATTAAATCCGGCACCCTAACTTCCCCTAACAATCCATTCTACCTACTTCCGTCGAGAATTTCATACCCTTAATTGATCTATTCAAATCCGTCAAAACCCAACTCCCATTGCGATCAAGACAATGGAATAATAACAATATCAATTATCCCTAATCTAGTATTGGCATAAGCAAAATCAATTAAGCAAGAACAATATAAATAATTAATTGAGAATTTAAAAGAATAAATCAAGTGTTAATCATATTAGGGTTCAACTTAAATCTCAAAAATAAGACTAGAACCCATAATAAATAAAAGAGAATCAAGCAAAAAAGAAACAATTAAAAGAACAACTAACTAGTTATATGGGGTTGCTGCTCCTAGTTTTGTATCATGCGGCTACCCCCTTTATTATCCCTAATAACTAGATATATATATAAGCAAAGATAATATTGGAGAAGTTGAATACAATT